TGCTTCTTGTAATTATTCGTTGCTAAGATTATTTAATTGTCCAAAAAATCCAAAACGATCACATATTACTTCATATGCTTTAAGTCTTTGACTTAATGCTGATGACATTTGATCTATAACAGGCAAAAAACATTCTACTTTAAATTTTTCTGAATGATTTAGTTGTGAATCAGGACCTTTGCCATAATCTAAAGGATTCAATCGAATATTAAGTTTACAAGATCGTTTTTTATTATCATTATATTCATTTGATTTTGAGATGATTTTGCCTTTTTTCTCAAACATTGAAAAACCATCGCGTTGAGCATCAATAAAGCACTTTAAGGACTTGACAGATGCAACAGCATTATTAAGGTCCTGTAGCTTAAACACCCTGTAATACTCGCTTTACTTCTTATCTGCTAATTGACAAATAACTACATCAATGTATAGTAATACATAATAATAGTCATTGCATATAAAATAACAATACGCACATAATGTATATTCATTTATTAAATATTTCTGAAAACTGATTTGAATCCGTTATTATGTATGTCTACTAGAGATCGGTCAGTCAACATTTTAAAAATTCTGAATTCCGAATAATTAATATTCAAATTCAAAAATTTCAAAATATTCAAATTAAATTATAGTTTTTGTTGGGGGAGGTGGTAAAATTGGGAAAAGTGGAATGACCGTTCTCAATTAGATATAATAACGAATTCAAATCAGTTTTCAGAAATATTTTTGCATTATTAGGTCGATCGGTAGAATGGTCAAAAGATAGGTATGTTTTGACTAAAATAACTGCACGTCACCGATCCCCTTAATATCCATTCTCTAATTATTATAATTTATAATAAATTTATAAATATAAATTTATATATAAATATTTTCTACTTCGTATAGATTATTAAAATTATTTAATTTTAAATTTATTATAAATATTACTTACTTAAACAATTGAACAGTACAGGCTCATGAGTATTCTTGGCTGATCATAATGAAGTAACGAGATTTAGTCGAAAAGTGGAATGTACAAAATAATAAATAATTCACAATAAAGGCATAAACGCTATAAACAGCGATAAGCCGATAACGATTATAGACGTCTTGAATTTTCCAACATTTTACATTGTGATTTGTGACAGATTACATTATGATTTTTATATATACTCGTATAAACATACACATGTAATTATATAACCCGCAACTTTACGTCACCGTGATAATGCAATAACAACGACTGTAGTATACTACAGTCATTACCCCATAATGTTTAAATCCGGCCCTGTACTGCAGTAGTACAATTTAATTTATATTTTATACCTAATTCATTTTTATTTTCAAAACTATATTTTTTTTTAAAATATAGTTTGAGAACCCAAAATTTGGGTTCCAAATTGCAATTTTATTTTTTAAATTTTTAAATTTTTTTTTTTTTCATTTCTGATTCGAGTCTCGGGGGCCCCTAAAACTTGGGGGCCCGGGGCATATGCCCTTAATGCCCCCCGTCAAATCCGGTCCTGGACAGAAGAACAGGAAAATACATTGAACCGTCATATACATTATTAACTAGTTATAGCAATTCTCCTAATTACATGGGGAAAACTATTTTCAACAATTTAAATAACGAAGTAAAGAGTCTAAAAAAAGTTTATGTGAAAATGAATCCAATAATACCAATGATATAATTAATATAATTAATAAAAAAGGCAATAAATAAAATAGTAGGTGATCTTGATGATAATTTTTGTATCAATAAAATGTCAATATGTCTAAACATAATATCGTTTAACATATTAATTTTGTACCTATAATATGTAATGCTGATGTTAATTTTTGTTTCTAAAGTTTCTTTTATCATGTTGAGTTTATTTAATTATATCATATTTTTATTTTTATAAGTATTTTACTTTAAACAAATTGTAATATCGTTGAACTCCATATACCAGATACGAGCTTATATAGCTCAGTAATCAGTTGGTATTCGTAATTCGTATGAGCTATTATTAATGTATTTTATTTTAATTATTTAATTGTAATTGTTTTGGCTGAATAAATAAATAAATAAATAAATAATAAATCCAAAGAAAAAAAAAATAAAATTCCGATTTTACGTTTGTAGTTTGTACGCATATACTACTTTAATGCCTCGCGCAGCGCCTATAATTAATTTTGAATTTTTTTTATACGTATTTTAAAAAATGGACATTTTTTGCATTTTTGTGTATTCTCGTTAGCAATTAATCTCCAACTTTGCAATTTGAAAATCACACTCATCTGTTTTGTATTCAAAAAGTTCAAAGAGTTCAACTAAATTTAACTTCAAATTGCGTAGTTATTAACTTTATAATATATTTATATATAGTTCACAATACGTCGTACACTAAAACAATTTTTCAGATATATTATAAATAAACTATTTAGAACTAAGTTTTTACCCCTCACTTCCCTCCTTAGAGGCTAGAGCTTAATTTCGTGAACAATATTTAGGTACCATCATGTAATATATTATTATAACATTTTGTATATACAAATCAGTAATTTAATTATACATAATTGAACATTTTAATATTGGTCTTCGTTCTATTTTTATATTTTATACCAATATCGCTATATTTTATAATTATCTCATTAGTCATTATTAATAAATTTTATATTATTATTTATTATTATTATGCATATGAAATTATCTTTATGATAATAGAATACCTACCCTATATTATGTTGTTTAGCAATTATCTTCAGGTAGACAACAGGCTAATGAGTATATTGTAACCTTGCCTGTTAATTGTTAAAGTAACATGTAATATTAAGTATATTATAGTGGCTTCCTTCGCCTACCGACTCCGGCCGTCAACACATTTAAGAATTAAGAGGATGTGACATTCGCTTATTTACTTATTTACCGGATCAAATGTCGTGGAACCTCGCATGTGTTATCTCCGTCTTACAAATGTACAACATAGCAATAAACTGTTTTGCGTGAGACAACTTTTCTCTCACCATATTTGTTGTGGAACTACCAAATGTTCACAACACGTAAAGAAGAACTTTATCTGTGCAACAGCTTGTGTATTTTTTTAATAGCGCTATCCAATCATTTTTTATAAGCAAATGAAAAAAAGTAGTATTGAGTAAATTACTTTTAAAAGTAATGAAATTAAGTTACTCGTTACTTAAAATATTTTTATTTGCGTTACCTAACATTTTTTTTACCACGTTAGTACGTTACATTACTTTTTCATTAATAAAGTAGTGCGTTACAAATAACATTACTTTTTTTTTATCATTTTATTTTTAACCATATTCAATTCATATGATTCAATTATTATGTATATATTTTACAATCATAAACCTAGACAACCTAGTGATAATATAATATCTACTATAGTATTATGTACAAATGTACAATCATCTCACCTATAGATATATGACACAAAGTATAATAATATAATAATATATTCATAAAACATAAATCATAATTAATTTTTATTCAATTTTAATTTTAAACCGAACTCTTTTATTTCTTCTAATAAAGTGATAACATTTATTCCTGGAATGTTTAGTAGCTAGTATTGTCAATTATCGGAAATCGGAATCAAAAATAAATATAATTGATTTTTAATTTTTCTGGGATATCCTTTCGGCTTGTTTTTGTAATACATATCAAAACTATTGTTTTAATGGAAATACATTAGAAATTACTTTTCAAAAGTAAGTTTGTTACAATTGCGTTATTTTAAGTAAAATGTAATGAAAATACTGCTGCCTTACTGAAAGTAATTGCGTTACAATAATTTGTAATTTGAGTTACGTTACTACCCAACACTGCCCTCTACATTATTCGTGTGCCCGCCGGTATCGGGATGTTTGAACTGAATTGAATTGAATGCTTAACCGTTAAATTGTCACACACTCATACCCTTCGTATTTTAAGCAGTCATAACACTAAAATCGAATATTTGTGATTAATATTAGTATGTTATAAGAATAAAACGAGACCACATACTTTCCAACAATCAATAATGATCAATGTACCGGGCAAAAATGCAAAATCCACTGTTTAATTATCGTCAGTAATGTGTCTTTATCACGACGTTCTACGGGTAGGTAGGTACTAAAAAACATTTGCCTGTTATCCGCTCTACTCCACCAAAAAGTAAAAACCCATTGACTCACTCACTACTCGATGGCCCCTATAATATTTTCATTATTATATATATCATAAGCAATTTATTTTCATTGCGTCATAGACCACTACTCTTAGTTCTTGATGTTAATATAGGAATATGTAGGTAAACGCTGTGACCACATAATTGGATTAATTGGAAATTGGAATACCTCAACTTTTTGGTAACCAGCTGTACTATCAATAATTGGTCGATAAAGTTCAAATATCGAACAATTTGTGAGTATCGTTTCAAAACCGAGTAAATGGTTCAATATGTTTATACGCGGTCATCGCGCGAACATGGTACCAGTAAAGTTGTGAAATGGCGCTTTTTTGATGTAAACAATAATAGTTCTACCGCGGCCGTCTCCGACAACGATGACTTTGATTTTAAAGACTGGTCATACTGATTGATGTTTTTTTTTTCTTATATATTGGGAAAATATTGCTCTCACGACTCGCGAGTGTCACCAACGTGTCACGTTTATCGGCCGGGCCCACGCCGTAGCGTATAATATTTTTTATTTATTTATATCAGTTTCCGAAATTCCGAACTGGCGACTGTCATCGTACATCGTGTTTTCGACGATTTCGTGTGGCACGTGTGCAATGAGCCATAGTCCTTAGCAGTGTTGAGCCGTACTTATTACATTCAGATTTCATTGTCTCAATAAACAGTTCCAGAGTTACGGTTTGTTGTTGTCACTTGTCACATGTTTCGTGTTGGCGAGTGACAGTTGGCGGTTGTTTGTCCGTCGTCTGATCGTGTCTGCATTTTATTGTGTAACTATCAATTCGTAATATTCGTATTATACCCACTTTTCAAAAGTAACTTTTCGCGATGTCTGTTGTGGTGAAAAAAGAAAATGAACATCAGAGTTCCAACGGGACTAGTCTGTTCGATAAATACCACGGTATCGAGTTGACCATACGGATTCTACTTAATAGCCGAGTATGTTGTATAATATTTTATTTTTATTGTTACTTAACTAGTTAACTACCTAAGAGCACACTACACACGTATTTTTGTCTGTACCTATTAACGTTCTAAATTTTCAATAGTTTTGTTTTTATTAGGTACCTACCTATTTAAATTGATCTATTATTATCTTCAATGCATTCGAATAATATTATAGTAGGTATTTAGAATACGTTTTAAATTAAATATTTACCTACCTATTTTGGAAATTATTTATAAAGTGATACTTTTTGTACGTATTCGTATTTGAAAACCACGTACCTACTTTAAAAATATCAAGATTTATTTTTCACGCTTTAGTTGGTTTTTTGTTAGTAATTTCCTATATTATTTTATTTGTGATTAAAATCAAATTATTAAACATTCATTTGAATATTCTTTTTAAAATTTTAAAATTAGATTTTTTTAATTGGTAGGTATTAGGTAAGGAATTTCAGAATAAAAATAAAATCTGAAATTAGTAATTACTAATTAATAATTACCTAATAAATTAATTTTCTTACTGTATAATAGGAACAGTATTTAAATATATATATATTTGTTCAAAAATACTTTTTCCTTCTAAAGATTTCAATTGTATTTTAAATAGGTACTTTCTGAAATCTGAATAGACATATTTGTATCTGTATATTTTAATACAATTTTAAAACTATTTTTTACATAACTGCAAACACATAGCATAATATTAAAAGTTCTTATTACATGCTTCTCACAGTGCTCGACTTGGCAACAAAATTAAAGTTAGGGAATTTTTATATTAAACGGTTATTTAAAAATAAAGTGCCTTCCCATCACTTGTTAAAAGTTATTAAGCCGTGGGGGCTATGGCCCCCACACTGTCTGATACCCCTTTTTAAATCCCATAAAAATATGTATAAGTAGGTAGGTAATCAATTTAGAAAAAAAAAAATTCATATAAGTTAATATAACACATAGGTACCTAATAAAAGTAAATAAATTAATAGTTTGGTAATAATTAGTTAATTTTAGCTAATTTATAAGTCTGTGGTTATGAAATACTGAAATAGGGATAAGACAAATTTTATTATGATGGTATCTAACGAATTTCGATATAATTGCAGAATTATGAAGCGTACCGTATGTTCCCCTTAAAAAATAATAGTAGGGTACGCAAATAATTCTGAAAAATTAGTTGGGATACTCCTTCCCCATGCGTCCACCCCCCAATCGAGCACTGGATTCTCATTTCTCATGTATGGTATTGGATATGACCGACAATAGACCTCAACTAATGTTCATGTCTTAAGTCTCGTCTTAAGTTTGATAATTGGTAAATTAACTTTTATATTAAAACCTACAGAACTTGCAGAGTCTAAATGTTGTAAGTGATGTATAGTATGTGTTAGGCAGATGATTTTTTAAAATTACAATTTGTTTAACATTAATAAAAACTAACATTGATTAATTTATAAAATATTTTTTTGTTTTTTAATAATTTTACTCTCAGGTATTTTAGGTGAGTAGATAATATTAAGATTTATTTAGTTTCTTTTAATAATGTAGTTAACCAATTATAAACTAAAGAAGTATTATACCTGCTTTATTATTTTAGGAAGTTGGAAATGTGATTGGTAAAAGAGGTGAAACTGTAAAAAATATAAGAAACCAGGTAAATAGTAAATATTATTCAATGTCGTGTTCAATATAGTATTAATATTAAATATAATTTAATATTTTTTAGTCTGGTGCTAAAGTATTAATCTCTAATAGTTCAACTCCTGAACGTATGGTTCTAATTATTGGAAATAGAATTGCAATTTGTAAAGCTACTGAACTTATTGGACTAAAAGTCGAAGAAGTAGGAATTTTTATAAAAAATCCAAATTTGTTCAAAATCACTTAATTATTTTTTTTTTTTAGTTTTTGGAAAGACTGAATGGCAATTGGATTGGCCCCAAAACCCCTTTGACTCTTAAACTAATTGTGCCAGCATCTCAATGTGGCTTCATAATTGGCAAAAATGGAAATAAAATAAGGGAAATTAGAGATTCAAGTAGAGCTGCCATACTAGTAGGATCAAATATGTTACCCCATTCAACTGAACGTCTAGTTTCAATTACTGGCACTACAGGCACAATATCTCATTGTGTTTATCTAGTATGCAATGTACTATTAAATGTAAGAAAATATTGAATATTTATTTTTAGCCTTAAATAAAATATATAGTTGAAATATTGTGTTTTGGGATCCACGCGAGATTGGTACAACAAATGTCTTTTAAGAATTAACATAATTTAATTATTTATAATTATTATACAATGATTGAGATAATTTTGATTTTTAATTCATTCTTATTTGTTTATTTGTATACCTTATTCAAGATAAGAAATGTACTCTGCCTAACCTTAGTTGTGCTCAGGTTGTGGTTTCATTACACAGCAAGCATACAGATGGTAGACTCACTGGTAGCTACGCTACCGACAACATCCGGTACTTGTGCAGTACGGTTTTTATCCTGAATAAAGTAATAGTACTATGATAGGTAGGCTAGTAAGAAGATCAAGAGAATCTACTTACCTAGTTTGACACCATGTTTGTATATTTTTACTAAATAGTAAAACTGTAGTTAAACACTAGGAATCAATATTATAATTAGTGTTCACATTATTTATTTTTTTTTATGTTCACTACTTTTATTATGTTTATGTTCCTGATATTGTATTTTTTTTTAAGATAATAATATGAGTTTAATACTATAATATAATTTATACATTTTCAGTCCCCACCACCGTGTTGTGAATCAATCCCTTATAATCCATGTAATGAAATTGCAGTTTTTGAAACTTGTACAGTTATTAAAGATGTAAGTTTTTTAACAATTATTTAAACCTAATTTATTAAGTAAATTTTGTTTAACTATTTTAGATTGGAACAGAACGCAATATTCCTTTGACCAATCTTGCAGCTCTTGGGTCAGGAACTGCAACAAATGGAGGTGTCAATCCAGCTGGTATGTACTAATATGATTTTCAATATTAACTCTTTCAAATTTTACTTGAAAATAGAAAATTAATATTCTTATCTTTAAATTTGATGATCGGTCAATTTACTAGAGGTTTGAGGCTTGAAAATTAACTTCAAGATTCCTCTCAAGTTTTTGTTACAGGGACTAAAATAAAGTTAAAGTTTAACTCTAAGGCACATACATTTTTTATTATATTTTAAAATTCAATTGTTGACTAAATTGAATATTACATTTTTAAACAAAATTAAAATTTCCATTATTTTGTTGTAAGTACCCACCTAATTCAAAAAATATTAATCATAAAAACTACAAACTAAAATACTAAAATTACCCATAATTTTTGGTACACTGAATATTTCAAAATATTTAGTTTAATTTTAAGCTATTCATAGGCATTTTTAGTTTTATTTTTCTATAAAACATGTTGATAAAAAAATATTTCTAGCCAAAAAATTGTACTTTTAATGTAAGGTTCCTAATATTTTATTCTTACTCCGTATCAACCTTCCATCCCCTGAATAGGTATCAGGTAGTAGATTAGTGGTAAAGTGTTATAATTAGGGTGGTAACTAAGATCTAAAATATAATTTTCAAATTTTATAGAATTGTGGAAAATTTAAAAAGCTGGCTTTTACACCCTTAATAATATAATATAGGTATGTAAAAAAAACCTGACATTACCGTTGCATCAAATTTTCTTTTTAATAAGAAACAATTCTTTAAGCAATTTATGTGTACGTGGCTTCCTCAATTAATTTGCAGTTAACATAATACAATTTTCATGTTTTGTATACCTATACTTTGATGCGTACTTGGAAATTAATTTTTGAGTAGTTAATTAATACATTAAGGTATCACGGGGACAATAAAATTCTTGAACTAACTTGTACAACTATGTTTTTTTTAATTTTATCAAAAACAGTATAGTAGACTGATATTTTCATTTTTATAAGTTCATCATTATATAGTTTGCCTTTTGCATAAGTTTTTATTAAATTGAGTAAAATTAAATAAATACTTTTAGTTTTGGCTGCATTAGCTGGAAGTCAGTTGAGAACAAGTAATCGTCTAAACCATATTGTTAGTGGAGAACAATCTGATCAAAATTCTAATTCAAACATTGATATAACAACAATAAATGTACCGAATGGTTTAATTGGATGTATCATTGGTAGAAGAGGAAGTAAAATTTCAAAAATTCGGTAAGTTTATAACTAACATAGTATCATACCAACTTAATGTAAAAATATATGTGTTATTAATTACTAACTGATTGGTTTATGGTAACCTTTTAAAGATGTCATATTATATGAATTTGTATTCCTTTCATATTATATATTTTATCTTATTAATATTTATATTATAAAACATTAATTGGTCTGATTATAATCAATTCAATTGTTATCATAAATATAATTTTAACTTCAAACTTCCATTTCTTAAGCAAATGTTTTCTATTACAAAATTGATTTTTCATTAAAGCTTGAAATTAGAAAATAAAATTTTAATGTTTTCTGCATTTAAAAATAAATGTATACTATAATATGTACTTATAATAAAATTTGAATAATTTATTTTATTGATAAAGAATAAATTGTTTTATTTAAAAGATACTCTTGATCTAGAATGTAGATCATATATTTTTACCATATTAATAGTAAAATTTGATAAGTTTATTTAATTTAAAAAAAAAAAAATTATAAATAGTAAATATTATGTTATGCGTGTATTTATTTTATTTAGACAAATAAGTGGTGCTACAGTACATATACATCAATCTCAAGGAACTATTGAAAATGGTAAAAAAGTAGATCGACGTATTACAATTACAGGAAGGAAAGAATCTGTTTCAGTTGCCAAGTACTTAATTGAAATGAGGTAAAACTTTATTATTATGCTAAGACATTATTTGCGGGATCATAGTTGAGAATGAATCCCTTTAGTGATATCATTAAATATACAAATCCCCCCTTATTGTATTATTTGTTCTTTTTTTTAATCACTAATCCCAATTTTTCTCTAGTATGGTATTGCAAAAAGCCAATCTTGGGGAAGTTAAATTATCCACTGTTCCTGACAATGGTTCCATCTCAACTTCGGTCACTCCAACTGTGGCTCAACTATTTGCCAAGCTGGACCCTATGACTACCATATCCAGCTTATTATATGCTTATATAGCCTTATTTGGTGCCGAAAAATCCCCTCCAATACAGACCACAGGTGTCCATCACCCGAAAAATGATTTAAAAAGAAAACGTAGTTCTTCAAATGAAGAAACCAGAGCGAAAAGGACCAAGTCTGCTAGTTACTAATAGCTAATTGATCCAAAGTCTGCCAATTCATACTAATTATTATTTCTTTATTTACAAGTAGTTTTTTAATTATTTTATTTAATTATACTTTAAAAAATAACTTTTAATTTTTGAGTCTAAAGACAATTCCAAAAAACTCTTTTATTTTAATATTTTACATAGTTGATTTTGTTTTGGGGTTGAATTCAAGACAAATTTATATATATAACAAATCTATTTCATACTATGTAGTATTTTTGCAATTTAAGGATTTATTTAATCATTTGTATTAAATATATTTTATTGTTAACAAATTAATAACATTTATCTTTTTAGTTCAGATTGTTTTCAATAACCATTTAGTCTTTTGTTCTTGCATTATTTTTTTGGAGATCATATTATTATGTTTTGTATTCCTTATTTTTAAAAAAAATTAGTATGAAATCCAATAAATAAAATTTACTCTTTTTACAATCTGTTGTTACTATATTTTCTATAATTGGATGATGTTTGTTCGAAATGGTTTAGCATCACTAGTGCTTCAAGACACAAAAAAGTTAGACAATTGAAGAAACAAGTAGGTATGTTCAGAGTATGGGTTCACTTTTATTTTTTGATCTTTGACTTATGACTCAATACCTGTTACTAATTCCAAAGAATCAAATTGTATTTGATTTATACCAGATAATATTTTATGCCTTTAAAAGTTTTAAGTTCAATTTGTTTGTGCAACTTGAGGGTAAATTATCTTATATTATCCAAAAAACTTATATTCTAATGTAAAAAAAATTTGATTTTGTCAAAAACTATAATTGCTTAATAATTCCAGTTTTCCTAAAAATAATTCTTGTTTTCCCAATTATTTTGAATACTACTATAAACTTATAAGCCTTTTAATACCACTTTAAGCACAGACTTTTTTTCATTAAATAGGTTCAAATCTAAAAATAAACAACTAATATAATTTACAAGGACAGTATTTTGGATCTGTTTAAAATATTATATACGTCTACTACCTGTCATCATTTAGAAAAGTTTTTAGCAGTTGTACTATTTATAAACCAATATTACAATTTACAATTAGTCAAATCATATTTTTACTAGTTTTTTATTCATTAGGTGTAGGATTACTATCAAAGTTTATAGTTGACAGCTCTTTAGGTACCTATAGGTGATAGACCTATAGGTCCTTAGATGTAGTAGGTTATATAGTAGATACTACACAAGTATTTCAACTGGAGGACTGGATATACATATAATTTTTAATACATAATATACCGAATGATTCTTTGAACTTATAACTGAACACTTATTATTTTATTCACATTGTTATTATTTATTCTCATTTAATTATAAGTAGGTAACTTAAAATACATTTTCTTAAAAACGTATATTATTCTAATAATATGTTATGTAATTACTAATTTGTAACATATTAAACTTTTTCTTTCTTACTTACTTTAAAATATGATTAGGTACTAGGTACCTAATATAAATATTATATGATATAATAAATATAATATACCTAGTATAAATAAAATTAATATTAAGCATTAAATTTTTTTGTGAATATAATATGTCTTATTGTACTACAGAAAGATTGTTTTCATGCCTAAATTTGTATAAACTACCTAAGATTCACCCAAACTGATGAAAAGTTAAAGCGAGTTAAACATTTTAGTATTGTTCTCGATAGAGAATGAAATGATAAAAGATTGAATTCACTTGTCATTACTCATTTTCAAGGACCAAATGTCGACGTAATCCAATACGTATACCCGAGTATGGCAGATACTGTGATAAAGGAGTGCAAGTGATTTGAGGAATTTTTAGAAAATGTGGGCTATGATGAGTTATTTTGATTTATTTTGAACTGTTTAGGGACATTTTCATTTTTCATTTTTTTTTAGTTTTTTTTCTAGAAATATCAATAAAATTTTATTTGTTGGTTGCGAAAGCTTGAAAATTTAATAGAAGACTCCTAGTATATTGTTTCAAAGGCAGATGAAAAATATTAAAAATCGTTGGTCAAAGTTTTTTTTTATAAGCATTTAAAGTTCAAAAATTGACAAAATATGGAAAAATCACGAAAATTAGCAAATTATTTTGAGTTAAGAATTCGCAAAAATTTTTCTTTTTAAATCTAAGATTTGAAAATGTAATACAAGATTACTCATAAGTTTGTCTACCTTTATCAATAAAAAAATCTCTACCGGACAGTCAAATTAAATTTTTATGAGCGTTTGAAATTCAAATTTTTACAACATTGGATGTTCACTCGATTTCTCATGTAGCGATTTCCTTATTTTGTTGTTATTCATAAACGAATAACTATAGATACATGAAAATTTCACTGAATGTTTATATTAGCATTTCCTATACACCATACAATTTTGAAAATATTTTGACTCTTTTTGAGCTGTTTACGGATATTTTCATTTTTCAATTTTTTTAGTTTTTTTTTCTATGAATATTAATAAAGTTTTATCTGTTGGGCCAAAAAGTGTAAAAATGTAATACAAGGCTCCTGATACATTGTTACAATATCAGTTGAAAAATATTAAAAATACATAGGTACAGTTTTTTTTTATAAGCATTTAAAGATCAAATTTTGACAAAATTTATCAAAATCTCGAAAATTATCAAACATTGTAATTAATAAATTATAAAATGTTCAGTTTTTATAGATAAGGATTGAAAATTTAAAAAAAAAGATTCTCATAAATAGTTCATACTGTAGGCAAAAAATCTAAAAAATATATGAGCACACTTATTTTTTACAGACATTTTAAATTCAAATTTGGACGAAATTACATATTAAAAAACCAACCTAGAATAACTATTTTAGTTATTTTGTTGTGATTGAATAATATTATTCGTGGGTACTTGAAACTTCTAAAGTGTACTATTATAAATCTATGATAGTATCACGGTTTTTGTTGATGTATAACGCGTTATAAGTACCTAATCGATATTGTGATATGAATAATTTGGAATTTATTATAAGTTCCTATTATAGGTCAAATTAGGTTTAGTAGGTACCATAGATATGTATATAATATGTGTTATACCTAGACTGACATACCGTCTCCGCTCAGAATCATTTTTCTTATACAATGATATTATACCGTTGAATTCAAATTTAATATCATCAATTATTCAGTGACCCACTTGTAACCTACTGTACAGCAGAGCGACACCCACTTGCCCACCTTTTTTTTTTGTTGATCTTTTATGTTGGTTTATTACACTTCAAGAACATGTAATATTATTATAGAATTATGGTATAGTTGAAGTTATTTTTCGTATGTTTTAAGTAGTACAATTTAAGCTATGAATACCAAAGACATTTTCGATTGTTTAGGAGTGTTTTTATTATTTTTATATTATGACATTTCTATATCCTATGCAATGGCAATGAAAATATCTTAAATCATTTTGGTAAGTTAGCAGTGCTAACACAGAGACCACGGCCGTGGAGGTGACGAGATTATAATATATTGTCCAAATCGTCCCTTACTAAATAGACGCGTGCAGTTACTTCGCTTTTGATGAGTACTTGAGTCCCGATACATACTACGACCAGTACGACCCATAGACCTATAAGTAATGGACAGTGCTTAGAGAGAGAAGTCAGGGGTACGATATAGAATGAGCGAGAAAAGAAACAAAGTACCTAGTAAAATGTATACAGTTCCTTATGCGAGCTCCAGGCTCCTTCACTATACTTTATGTTGTTTCTCTCTCAGTTATAACTTATATAGTTGTATGGTTATTTGATCACCCAGCATTGATGTGGAGTGGAATGCCGCTGTCCATTAGTTAATACTTTTATAGGTCTAAACTAGGACCTCATATGGGCGATTGTAGTGGTTAGGTGACAACCACATCATCGGCGATCATTCCACATCCGACGACCACGACCCGTGGTTAAAAATCATAAATAACTACCTACGACTGATACGCTCTGAAGAAAAAATAGCCGAATTTTACAACAAAAAAGATATAGGAAGCTACATAATTGTTATGGTACCTCATTATACCTTAGTGGCTTATTTTAGATCATAGGCGGTACTAGACCCTCTTGGCAGGGGGGGCCAGAAAATATTTAAACTATCTAACTATATATTGGGAAGGGGGGGTCGTTAATGGGTGACTTCCCCTTCACCCCAATAAAACCCCTTCCAATTTACTCATTGAATAATTTTGTAAATAAAAAGGTGGGTAAGTGGATGTAGCTCTGCTGTACTGTAGGTTACAAGTGGGTCACTGTATAATGGATGGTATTAAATTTGAATGCAATGATATAATATCATTGTATTAGAAAAACGATTCTGAGCGGAGACGGTATGTCAGTCTAGGTATAAGACATATTATATACTTTTCTATGGTATTAAAATATTAAATTATATGGAATTTATGAATAAATTCCTTAAAGTATGCACAGTCTTATCATGAGCATAATTGTTATTCCTTATACTATGGTAGATTGTATGGATAGGCCATAATATTTTGATTTTTCAGTTTCATATATCCCCGAATAATATTTTTAAATTACAACAAAAACAAAGATCGTTAATATTGATTTTAATATGTATTTTCGTCCAAATTTGAATTTAAAATGTCTGTAAAAAATAACTGTGTTTATATATTTTTTTGATTTTTTGGTTACAGTATGAACTATTTATGAGAACCTTTGTTTTAAATTTGCAATCTTTAGCTATAAAAACTGAACATTTTATAATTTATTAGTTACAATGATTGATAATTTTCGAGATTTTGTCAAAATTCGATGTTTAAATGCTTATAAAAAAAAATTGTGCCTATGTATTTTTAATATTTTTCAATTGCTACTGTAACAATATATCAGGAACCTTGTATTAAATTTTTACACTTTTTGGCGCAACAGATAAAACTTTATTGATATTTATAGAAAAAAAAACTAAAAAAATTGAACAAATTTAAAAATTCGAATCTTTTCTTATCTATCGCAATGTTGTAACGTTTTGACGCACATCACC